ACTACACATGAGTAAAGAATCACACCTAATCACGCCTAAAATGCTTTTATGGTGCAGAGACTTCTGACCTACAGGGTTACAACAATACAGTTTAGTGTTTTCTACAACACCTGGGGCCTGTTTCACAAAGCAGGGTGGTTAACAATTTTCCCTGGCAATACAGGTTTAGATATTCAAGGCAATCGCATTAAAGAGCCGAGAGGTGAGAGGCTCATTTTTCAAAGAAGGAGTGAGAAATCATACAGCATAACAGGTCATATAACGTTACTGTGATAAGTTACATCACACTGTGTCACAATGTGCTTTTCTGAGCACACAGTGGATGTCAATACTTAACACTGACTAATTGCAGGTTTCATTACAAAGACAGCGTAATAAGTCCTGTTTAATTGCAGTGCAGTGTGTGAAATGTTCAATACAAATCATTGTACTCAAAGGTCTTGATAATACTTTGAATGTGGCCCTGCTGCTTCTTTTTTGTCTGTTCTTTTTATCAAACCTCAGAAAAACTCGTGATACATATTTTTGCCATATTGCTCATCCCTACTGTGTAAATGTGCAGAAAGTAAATAATTTGTAGAGGTAAAAAGCCACTGTGTTATTACTACAGCATTTTAGGGCCACTGTTAAAAAAATAGTAAACTTTCCGAGAATATAGTCGTAATATTTAGTGATAAAAAGTCACACGGTATGATATTTTGAGAATAAAGTCATAATATTTTGATAATAAAGTCCTAGAATTACAATATAAAAGTGGGATATTAACAGGAAAAGCCATTACAATATTGTAGCCAAAGGGTTTGCAAAAGGAAGGTAGTGACCTCCTCGTGCTAAAACGAGGGACGTTGAGTCGGTATAGTTATGCTTTAGTATCAGTTTCACCCATAAAGAAATACTCAGTTTCCCTGTCTCCTCTGCACATCAGCACCAGCCTGTTATTAGTATAAGAAACGGCTGAGCAGGAAACTGTGTTTATTTAGAATAAAGAGCCAGACAGACTCGGAGGAAACTGTCTGTCTGTTTTGTTGAAGCAGAACTCACAGGCAGGGTCGTCTACAAGCCTATCGGTGGTTACATCTCCATGCCATTCGAAGAGGGCATGAAGTTTCACAGGCGACAGAATGATAATCAAAATGATCGACCCCGAAGGAGCAGAACTCCGGCTCCAGTGCGTTATGGCAGCCCCCCTACAATTAGCCCACATAATCTTCGAAATATCTCAAGTTTATTCTTGTACCTTCATGACTTTATCAAAATATTCCAACTTTATTCTGGAAATATTCTGACTTTATTCTCAAAATCTATTATTTATTTATTTTTTTTAACAGTGGCCCTAAAATGGCATCATAGTATTAGTGCTGATCGAGTAATAATAGATTTATGTTTTTGATACCTGTGCAGCTTGATTAAAGTCAACCCTTTAAATGACCAGAGCCCACTGACAGGCCCAAAGTAGCCAGTTTACAAGTCCCTGCAGTTACTGAATAATAAACCATAGATTTTAAGGGATTAAAGTTAGCTATCCTGCTTTGTGAGGCGAGGCCCTGCTTCAACACATCTGATTCAGCTTAGAGTTTTTGTATCACTTTATTCTGATGGTTTCTTATGTTTGCAATGGTTCAAATTGTTAAAAAAAAAAAGAAACGGATTTGGTGTAAAGGCCACCGCACGCCAGACGCAATGTGTCTGGGTTTAATTTACACAGAAAGGCAGTCAGTCTTTTATATAAACAGACAAATGCTAATGGGCTGTTACCTTGGCTGACGTTGCTAGCCATTTTTCACCTCAAAAGTTTGTGAAGAGTAGTAAACTTAGGTGAAACTTGACAAATTATAAGTTCTATTTCACTAAATTTATATGAGCAGAGTGTAAAAAACACTTGTGCTTGAATTGCATTGTCGCTCTCAGCACAACACATCCTACGTAGCATAGTAGCGCTTTGGACTGTATCCGCTACTTGATGCTACGTGGCGCTACTGGAGTGCGGTGGCCTGATTATCAACAGAGCCACAATGTGTCCTAACAGCAAGCGAGCACTGAAATGTCTTATTGTAAAGAATTCAGGATGCCTACACTGGAAACGTAAAGCTCCTGTGTCAAGTCAAAATGCAAACAAACCACGGATCTACAAGAAAATAGCCACTTCACTGGTGTTTTTTTGAGACATTGATTTAATACAGTGTATAAAAGGTTACGTTTTATCCCCACATTTAAGGCCAGTGGTCTAAATATCATTGTTAAATTAGAATTATAATGCCCTGGTGTTGGGCAGCTTGCGTCTGCTAACATATCTGCTAAGTCTACTTAGCTAACTAGCTAAGGATCCTAATCAATCAAACAGTATCCACCTCTAAAACATCCAGCACTGTCAACTTCTCTCCAAATTGTTTACTGGAAAGATCGTGGCCATTCCTCCTTTTCTCCACTTCATGGATGAGTCTCTCCAGGTAGCAAGCATATATTGGTCTGCTGGATTGGTAAGATCAGCACCCTGCTGACAGTTTGCCACTGCTGGTCCACTCTCAGACCACCCAGATTACTGTCCTGCACACGAGATCTAGTTTTAGATCTCCTCAAACAGATTTTAAATTTTAAAAAGACTTTTATTTTGGAAAATAAACAATTATTACAAACAATTGGGAGACAAAAATGTAGTTATCAGGCCTAAAATATAATGATTCTGTTGAAAATATTGTTGACACTGTGCTAGAATGGTTACAGCTGTGTAACTGGCTTTATTTATGATGTTGCTGTTAAAGTTATTTACTAAATTAATTTTGAAAGGATTGCGAAAAAGGAAAAATAAGTAAATTGGGCCATGAGTGCAAAATGAGTGATTTGAAGTGGCATTTTGTTTAATTTGCTTAACTACCAGTGGGCCACCTGGAAAAAACTTGCATCCATAAATTGATTATTATGTTCCAAAATAGAATCCATTTCCTTCCATTCATTTTTTGGCCCATTTGGCCTTCCATTCTGACTTTGGAGTGTCCTTCACATCTTTTCAGGTAAGCTGCAATGATGTTTTGCTTATTTTGTTTTACAGAATGCAGGTTTAACTAAGGTCTGACTTATATTTTGTCATGTAATCCTGCATCCATAAATATTACATCTCAGAGTTGAACCTGCTTTCTTTCTATTTTTCCTTTTTTTTTGCTCATTTTTGCAAAATGAGTGATGTAACTGGCATTTTGTCTAATTTGCTTAACTACCACTGGGCCACCTGGAAAAAAACTGTGCAAAAAGCCAGTTGGCCACCAGCTTTGCAATCAGCAGGCCACCGTCTTCTTGCTATCTGGGTCTCCTCTTCCATTTTGAGGTGGAATTTGGCAGAAACGGGGTGTCTGTCAAAAACGGTGCGGTGCGACATGGCATTGCATGGCACTCTGCCTCTTGCGGCTGGTGTAGACACCTTCACCAATTACAAAGGGAGTTGATTTTGTTGTTGTTGCTCGCTCATATCGCTCGCTGTTAGGACACGACGTTAGCATTAGGATTAGGGTTAGGCTTAGTTTTTTAGTTTTTCAAAAAACAAAGCCATCAAAATAAAGCCTTTTTGACAACTAGCTGATGGCCTGAATCTGCTGGGTCCAAGAACTAAACTGTAATGTTTCCAGAACCGTGAGAACACTGCTAACTCTGCTTGGTGGGAAACTAGCTTAGGATTAGCACCCTCTAGTGGAAGTCTAGTGTTTCCTCTACATCGCTGGTACCGGATCTGTGCGACTTTGACGTGTTTACTCGCGGGTGCCTAGCGTTTATCACTATAGGTGCGTCTACAGGCATCTACTCGATTTGAGGCCATTCGTAAAAAGTCTTCTATGTCTAATAGAAGTGCCCTGATAAGAAAAGTTTCCACAAAATAACAGCATATATCAAATTACAAAAGTCACAGGTGCAGCGCCACATACCTTTAACCTGAAAAGTAAAAAAGAAACTACAGCAGTCTGTGTGCTAGTCACCTTCCACAGGTGCAGTAATCCTGATTGATCCATGGTTGCGCAGAAGCTACACAAAATTAATAGCGATAACAACAAAAAAAAAATAAAAGCCTATCAAATCAATAAATTGCTTCGTCAGATCGAACGACTGGAGGTGCAGGATATGTCCTTTGTGCTAGTTTCATTACACATTGCAGCGTTCATATACATGCATACCTTCACTCAAACTTACTGATTAGTATACAAAAGAATACACAAATTTCATAGTAAGAACATCTACGTATTTACATCAAATCAGATAATCTTGGCATATGATACATAAAAATTCTCGTCTCGACGAGGAGAAATGTCTTGAAGCTTTGCAAGTTCCCTGTACGTCTGGGCAAAAATTTGCACAGCAAAAGAGAGAGTGCGTCTTTAATGCCTCTTGTTGGAAGAGTCAGGCGTTGAGCTTTGAATCTAAACAAGAAAAAACAGAATGGAGAAACCAAAGAGTTGCCATCCTCAAACCGGACCATGTAGATGATGCTCACCAAACTGAAAATGAACAATTAGAAAGGGAAGACGAAATTCCATCTCCTTTTCCCACTCTCATTTTCAAATTTCCCTCCTCGTACTTCGTGATGTTTGTCGGATCTTGACAGCGCAGAACAACAAAGTCTCCTCTGACCCTCAAAGGGGGCAGAAATAAGTCTCTCCCTGCAGAGCTCAGTGTAAAAGATTGGATAAAAATTGCTGCTCCTTTTTGGCCCATTGTGTGCTCCATGCTGATGTCTTGTGTAAGTATTCTTGTTGCTTGCTGGATGTTGAGTGACCATAGTCTCATTCACCTGCCATAAAGTGAGAATGAAATGTCACCCTGCAGAGCAATAAGAATGGCTGCTCCTTTTTGGGCCCATTTGGCACTCCATACTGATTCTGGGGTTCACTTTGCATGTGTTCAGACAAGCTGCGATGGTGTTTTGCTTATTTTGCATCAAAGAATGCAAGTTTTACTTTTAAAATTCACGTTGTGGAAACTTACACCCAAAAATGAATTATTATGTTGCAGAGTTGAACCTGTTTCTTTCCTCTTTTCCCACATTTTTGGCCTGCTTGGTGCTTCTTTCTGTCCTTGAAGTGCTCTGTCCATTTGGACAAGCTGCAATGTTTTTTTTATTATTATGCTTATTTTTGATTAGAAAATGTGAGTTTTACTTTTATAAACTGTGTTGTGGAAACTTGCATCCATAAATTGAAGTTGAACCTGTTTCCTTCATCTTTTTCCTTCTTTCTCCACATTTTTTGGCCTACCTGCTGATCCATACTGACCTTAGAGTGCCCTTCGCATGTGTTTGGACAAGCTGCAATGTTTTGCTTATTTTTGTTTCAAAAATGTCAGTTTTTCTTTCATAAATCGATTATGTTGCAGAGTTGAACCCATTTCCTTTTTCCATTCATTTTTTCTTCCATTCTGACCTTGGAGTGTCCTTCACATCTATTCAGGTAAGCTGCAATGATGTGTTGCTTATTTTGCATTACAGAATGCAGGTTCAACTCAGGTCTGACTTATATTTTATCATGTAATCTTGCACCCTACGAATATTACATCTCAGAGTTGGACCTGCTTTCTTTCTATTTTTCCTTCTTTTTGCTCATTTGGTGCCCCATACGCATCTATTTGGACAAGCTGCAATGAAGTTTTGCTTATTTTTCATTAGAGGATGCCAGTTTTACTTTTTTATTGTTATTTTATGTTATGGAAACTTGCATTAGTAAATCCATTATTATGTTGCGGAGTTGACAACCATTTTCATCCTCTTTTTCCTCATTTTTTGACCCATTTGGCCTTCCATACTGACTGTGGAGTGCCCCTTCACATCCATTTGGACAAGCTACGGTTAAGTTTTGTTTGTATTGCATTTGAGAATGCAGGTTTTACTTTTATATATCGCGACGTCGTTTGTTGCACCCATAAATCGATGATTACACTGTGGAGTTGAGCCGGTTTCCTCTCTCTTTAGAGCCCATTTGGTCCTGTTGGCCTTCCATACTGACTTTGGAGCGCCCCTCACCTCCATTTGGACAAGCTGCAATAAAGTTTTGTATATGTTGCATTAAAGAATGCATGTTTACATTTACATATCAGGTCCCGGTACCTTGCATCTACAAATCATTACACGATGCAGAGTTGAACCCGTTTCATTCCGCTTCCACCTTTGGCCTTTTTGGCATGCCATACTGACTTTGGCTTGCTGTCTGTATTACCGTTGCTTTCTCTGAGCTCTCAAGCTCACTTGTTCCTTTTCAAATCCCTCTGTCCATCCTAAACCTCCCCTTCCTCCTCCGTGTCCGCCTCATCCTCCTCTCCCACCACAGGGACGTACGTGGTGGCTCGTTTCTTGGTGACCGTGCTGGAGCTGTTCCCCAGCTGGGTGCTGCCGACCCCGACCCTGGCGGCCAGTCCTGAGGCGGCGGACGAGGCGGTGCCTGTCTTGGTGGGGACGCTGCTGGTGCGCCCCACGGCGTACACCCTGCGCTCCATACTCCCCGAGAACTGAGGGGCCCGCTGACCCGCACCCTGAGACTTGCCCTCCAGGAAGTAGGTCAGCATCTGACCTTTTCCCTTCACGCTCACGTTGCCGCGGCACACCAAGTCGTAGTCGTTCTGGAGCAAGCGGTAGACGTCCTCCGTCACCTGCGGAGAAGATCACAGCAGCTTCTTCATGAAGGATGGAGTGAAGAGCTTATTTCCTTTAAAAAATATTACCTCTATTTAAAGCTGCACTATGAAAGTTTTTCTGATAAAACTGAAAGAAGTTAACATTAATGAGTCGATGCACTAAAATATAGTGTGTGCGCTGCTGTGAGTCAACCATAAAGCCTTAAATAATCATTTAAAAGTCAGAGACGCCAGGTCAGACTTTGCGGGACTTCACGTATTGATGTCATACACGCCACCTTAAAAAGAATCTTGATTCAACGTTAGCTCAAAGGCAAAATCAACCTTATAAAATGGAGAGTTCTGGTCCTAAAATCTGATTGGCTGAGCCGCATTCTAAGCTGTTGTAAAATCCACAACATACACACATCAATGACCGCCTCACAACAACTAAGCTGTGTATTACTGCACCACAGCACGAAAAAACCATGTGCTGTTAATGGAATAATGTTTGACTCTCAGGCTGCTCGCATGGACCACCTACTTACTATTGATGAAGTAAGAACCCAATTTTTGTTTAAACTGAGGGGCTGAAAACTTATGTTCTTAACTAGAACCAGGATAGTCAGCTAGCTAACAGGCTAAAAGAGCCAACAGCCTAAACAGCTCCATCATTAATATCACAGGCTTGAATTAAAGCACTCACAATATGATTCACTGTAAAACAGCAGTTTAAAAGTCTAAAAAATGTCATTTGAATATCTTACACACTTCAAATGTTCGTGTTTCAGTCAGAAGTCACGTCAAACCCAGGCTGAATCCCAAATGGCTCCATGCTCCGTTAATAGTGTGCTAACTATGAGAGTTTGGAAATTCTAGCCTCTACAGCCGAATAGTGCATCATTTATCGAGTGTGGATGTCCCAAATGACTGTTTCTCAGCTGTATTTTGCACCGTTGGGGTTTCAGGATCCAGTATTTAAATTCCTACATAGTGCACTACGTAGGAAGCCGCTGGATCCACTTCACGCTGTGCCTAAGAACACCCTTCCGGTAATAAAATCACAGTAATGCATGACCTCTGGAGGCTGATTGTTCTATTATACTGATTAAGATATAATGATATTATGAAGATAAGATATAAACACTAGACTAGACGGAGAAGGTTTGTGAACAAACTTAAAATTTGCTGTGGAATCCCAGGTGGTTGCTAAGGTGTTGCTAGGGCGTTGCTATGGTATACTAAGCGGTTGGAGAAAAGGAAATTCTAAATTAATTTTCCAGTCAAGTCTAATCATGTTGTTGAACTTATTTATGTCCATATTGGTGCCCTACTGTAAAATGAGGCTTTTCTATGAATAAAGGTCTGAATTGAATTTAACTGAATTCAATTTAACTAAACTGAATTTTTGAATTCTCAAATTTTCTGCATAATTCAATCATTGAGATGTAAAGGAAGTCATTTCTTTACAGCGGTGGTGAGAGGAACCAGAGGTCACACACAAAACTTTATCTCAAAACTATCATAAAACTGTCTCAGATACCAGCAACATATTCTAAACCATCACATGTAAAAACTTTCTGTGAGGAAGATTTTAGATGTCTGGTTCCTTTCAGCACCTCTGTGAATAATACCGACTCTAAGGTTCTCTGGAACAGAACATTTCACACCAAACCACTCTGAATGATCTTTAAGACTTAATTATGCTGAAATTTAGGAGAGAAAAACTCTATAAAAGCATAAATCCATTGAGCTTCAAGGAGTCTCTGTACCTGGATCTTGCCCGGGACCCCTGTACTGTCCATGCGGCTGGCCACGTTCACCGTGTTCCCCCAGATATCGTACTGAGGCCGCCGAGCCCCGATGACTCCGGCCACCACTGGCCCCACATTAATACCTGCCAAACCCAATCACAGCAGTGTTCAGCAGTTAGCTACAGTGATTTTCTAAACACTGTTTACAGGCTGGGAGGAATGGAAACAAATTCAAGTTTTTAAAGTTTATTCTCACTTAGTTCGAAACATTCAGCAGCAAATACATCTCAAAAGAGATATTTATTGACATTTTCAGTGAGTTCTGTCATGAAGTTCACTTGTAAAACTGAAATTTGAATTTATTCTGAAGAATAACTTCCAAAATATTTGACATGCAGCACCAGTTCAATTTTTAATTTTCAATGAAAGGAAGGTATCCTACATGACTTTGCGAGACTTACCCACTCTCAGGACAAAGTCATTGTATGACTGGTAGTTGATTTCATCAAGAACGTCAAACATTTCAATGGCAAAGTCTGCTATTGTGCTTAGGTGGGCTGCTGTGGACTTTTTAGCCTGCAACAGCAAAAATTTGGATTAGCAGAACAAGCACAGACCATAAACGCACATTCAAATTTACAATGGCTTCCAACTCCAGGCCTGGACTATGCCTGCACTCCAGTTTTTATTTCCCCATTTTAACTCATCACTAACTCTTAAGTAGAGGTCTGTGCGGGACTGTTTTTTTCAGTACCGCTCCCGCCTACTCCTGCAAAATTTCATCCCGCTCCCCCTCGCAACTGAAACGTTTAGTCCCGCTCCCCGCCTGCGCAGCTCTGTCAAGGTGTACTGACATCCAATATCTGATATAGTCCATGTACAAATACATTATCCTCTGCTGAAATAACACGGCAGTCATGGTCATCAGGCTCACTGTGAAGTAACTGCATCAAATGCCATTTATTCACAGTAAACACAAAGCAGGAATTAAACTACAGAGCAGTTATTTTTGGTGCTTTGCTGGGCAGCTGTGGCCATCAGACTGAAGGCTCCATCATCTCTGTAAGCTATGAGAATTAGCATGATGTTTACGTGATCGGCTGCTTCGCAACTCTTTAGAATGACTTCATCCATTTTAACTGTTTTACTGTTATCATTTATATTGTTTATATATATGATTTAGTGATCATTCTACTTTTTTTAGGCCATTTATTAATTTGTGGGATTTCTCTATATGCGTATTTCTTCCCACTCCCACCTGCAGTGGGCTGGTGTCCCACCTGCTCCCATGCACAACACTGACAATTAGTCCCTGTGGCGGGTCCTGAGGAAACCATGGGAGTGCAGACCTCTATTCTCAAGCACTTTTTGAGCTGAATGAAATGTCTTAGTGCAGGGAAAACTCTCAAACAGGCACACTCTCAATCTATGAAGTGTTGCCTGGTCAGCAGTGCCAATGCAATGGAAACAGCTCTAATGGACACGATGATGTAGAATTTATTGCTTTTTAAGTCAAACATATTCAAGCTTTTTTCCACATGAGGCCCCCATCCCAGTTTTTTTGAGCACTGCCTCCCCCCCAAAAACATACAAATGTCTGTCTGTGAACTGTGAAAAATATATCATTAAAAACCGTATAAGATACAGCAGAGGAACAGGACTCACCTTGGTGCCAATGGTGGGCACTAGACCCACAGCTGCCATGTATGTGCTGCCCATGGTTTTGATCTTCTCAATGTCTTTGTAGCATTCTTTGTCCATGAGCTGGAGGATGAAACAGATCAGGTGTTGAAACGGGATGCTCAGGTAGAGGATGTGATTGGCTGATGGGAGAGAAGCAGACTGACCTCATCAAAGTCAGCGATGATCTCGTTGAGAAGACGCAGGCACTCCACGCCCATGTTGTTTCCATCCAGCTCGATGTAGAAGTCGTTGAAGTTGGGAATGGACGCAAACAGGACCCCGACCTGGGCGTAGGACTGGTAATAGAGATCCTGCAACAAAGTATACTAATAAAAAGGTTTGTTGTTTGGATAAATGTCATGAGATTTGACATACAAAGACTGTTGGGCAAAACGTTTGTCATTTTTACAATATAGCTGTCGTCTTTCTCACCAAACAATCAAATAGTTACTGTTGGAACAAAACCTCGTATTTCCTTTTTTACATAATTACATAATACAGAAAATGCCAGCTATCCTTTACATTGTGTCAAGAGAGAAGAAGAGAACACTTCAAAATGGCTCAGAATAAAATGTTATTACATTAACTTTCATTAAAAGGTATACTTACTAAAAAGCACAGCCACAGAATTCCAGCCAAAATTAAATCTACTTTAATAAATTTCCTACCAGCATTTCAAAAATTCATTGCCAATATTTTTTGATAGATCATGTTCAAAAGTGCAATTTCAGTCAGTGCATCAGTTTTGTTTGCTTAGTAAGACTCCAGCGGACTATAAAATACACCTGTTAAATTGTGTTTTGCTGTTTGTAAATATGAAAGAATAAAACATAAAATATGCCACATTTTATATTTTATGTTTTATTATTCTTTCCAATATGTTAAATTCAGCAAACACACAGTTCTACACTAAAATGTGCAGACGTCTGTTCTCTGTAGAGAATGTGTGAATTTATGTTCACATAGAAAATCAACAAAAAATTTGATCAGGTGTGTCCAAACTTTTGCATACGACTGTATGTACCGAGCTCAGGCAGGGAAAAGCTGGTGTTAAAAGTGTTGGGGGTAGAACAGTATCCTCAAAGGCAAACTGGTGTTACTGTAGTGTTTTTAGTATTTTTTGTTAAGAATTTATGCAATTTTTTATCTTTTTTCTTTATAACGAGAAACATTTATCGTGATATACATTAAGCACAGTTCATCATACCAAAATGGTGGCAGTGCGACTGCAAGACGTCACTGAAATACTACGAATAGAATATGTCTCAAGTGGCTGTGCGTGGAATAAAACCACATGGCTCTCTCACCATGTTCCTGGGGTTGGACATTAGGAAGTGCTGGGCCACGTGCACTGGGAGCAGATTGAAGAGAATCCTTCTGTTGTCCAGTTTCACTTTCTCCATGCCGTCCCTCTCCTCCTCTGCCTGGATAAAATGGAAAGAACACATTTATGTGAAACAGCTACAGATTGACAAGAAAAGATGATAAAAGTTCATTAACCTTTGACCCACTGAGGCTAAAAGGATACAATTCCTGTTGTATCCCACGTTTAAGTGTTTTGTCTTCCTGTGACCACTAGAGGTCAGCACAAAACCAAAACTTCCTGGGTAGGCAGGTATTTTTTGCATCATGGCACCTTCGTTTTGGGCTTTGCTCTCTCCTGTTGATGCTTGCAGCAACCTTGAGCTTTGGTACGACGCCGTCATTTTTCTTGGGCTCAGGGTCTTTAAGGGGAGTAAATGAGGGAAAAAGTTCATTGAAGTTCTGAGATCAGTAAACTTTTTCATCAGGCCCTCTCTGTTCAGCCGTTCCCATTGCTTTTACCCATTTGTCTGTTATATAAGGAAGCCCTCAGGTTCTTTAGCTCCTAATTAATTTTATTATGTCCTAGCCAGCACTATCAAACACTCGGAACAGCTCCCAGTCCTCCAAACAGAGCACTACGCCGTGGGCAAAGCAAACACAGCAGACGAAATACAGAAAATACTGTATTTGGCCAAGTGAAAGCAAACATATCACATTCTGCTGTTTCCCGGTATTGGTTAATTATAAGACATTGACGTCAAACAGATGCAGCCATCTTTGGCTGGCAAACATCGGAAGATGTACAAGAGAAACAGACCCAAACGTTGACTGATAGGCTTTTAAACAAAAACACAAAGCACACAGCCCACCAGCACACGTGTGCTTGGTCATCTATCACGGTATTCAGGGAAAAGCTCATTGCATGAGCCCTGCATCAGTTTATTCATTTCATAATATCACTGGTGTCAGAAGACAACCTTACTTAAGAGCTTATATAATCCCTCTAATTATAACTGACGCTTGGATTAGTCTTGTGGTCTTGGTGAAGATAATCACTTCAGTGGGGTCATCAGGTGGGCTCCCTCCTTCTTTGGTGTTCCGTTTATAAGCCCACAACACCTCCATAGGCTCAATGGTGACATCTGGTGTCCCAGGGTACCCTCCTCCGCTTTTACTTCTCTTGTCCTGCTGCTTGATTTCCAGTTTGTTGTCCAATATATGTCTTTTTTTTTTTAAGCCAGAGCCAGTTCCTCACTCTAAAGTGAGCTGAATGGTCATCAGAGGGCCTGTCCCTGGTCATGTGTCACTTTCAACAGAGTGGTGGCTGATAAGGCTACAACGTCTCCGCAGCAGATGTCCATAGAAAGTACTTGTCCGTTCCAAACCTGATGTGCTACTTCATCTGCAAGGTCTGTATACAGTTGTATGGAAAGGTCTGAACACCTTTGGTCAAATTATAACATTAAAACCACCTCCTTGTATGTACACTGTCTATTTTATCAGCGCCCCCTACCATATAGTAGCACTTTGTAGTTCTACAGTTACAGACTGTAGTCCATCTGTTTCTCTGCATACTTTGTTAGCCCCCTTTTACTCTGTTCGTCATTGGACAGGACCCCCACAGAGCAGGTATTATTTGGGTGGTGGATCATTCTCAGCACTGCGGTGACACTGATGTGGTGGTGGTGTGTTAGCGTGTGTTGCTACGAGTGGATCAGACACAGCAGTGCTGTGTCTTTAGATTGTGTGAACTTAGCTTAGCTGAGTTAGATCCTGAGCTAGATCCTAGCAAGCTCAGTAAGCAGTAAACTTGATCGTGGTAAAGAAAACATATTTGAATACTATGAAAAACAATGAGAAAATCCCAGTCTTCAACCATTCATCCCAGACATCTGGGCAAGTGCTGTAAAAGGTAGGACTGGAGTTGATTAGCTTTGACCCACTGTGGAATGCTGTCTGCTGTTATAGTAACTAAGCAGTTAAGTGTGAAGTCAGCAAACTGTTCAAATTTTAATTATTCTCTCTCTAATTGTCTAAGCTGATTGCGAGCCTCACTATAGTGATGTCTCTGAGAAAGACAGACTGCACGTGCAGAGTGGCTTTATTTGGGGCCATGCCACACTTGTAGTCATCAAAACAGGCGGAAATCAACTCAATAAGCAGCCATTATCAACATAAAAACCAGGGAACTGCTTACTCAAAAAAGGAAAAACAGCTTAGAACTCAGAGCCTTCGCAAAGAGCAAGGCCAAACAAAGGAGCATATAATGGGCTAGCTAATGAGTCCAGGAATGAGCTGCAGGTGTGTGCGATAATGAATGAGTTGAGCCAGGATGGACCTGGAGTTGGAGTAAGTCAATACAAAATGGGAGTCCATGTGCTGACTCTCCAGAGCATGGATGCTCAATCCTGGTCTATGAGATCTATCACTAGTTCAGATCCAACACACCTGGCTCTAATATTCAGATGCTCCTGTAGGCCTTCATTAATTGGATCCGTTGTGTTTGATTAGAGGGCACTAAGCTGTGCAGGGTGGTAGATCTCCAGGACCAAAATTGGGCACCCCTGGAGCTGGAGTGAAATCCCTGTGATGCCTAGCCGCCTGAACCTGTAACTAGGCCCACCTAAAATTACATTTTGGCTGTACCACTATTACAGAGTGAGGCAAAAGTAGCATTAGAAGTCTTGCCCAAGGACCTATTGGTATAACATGGTATGCTTGCCCAGGTGTGGAAATTGAACCCCACATGTAGGGCAGAGATGTTGTCCACTATTCCAGAGGTGCCCGATCCTGGTCCTGGAGATCTGTCACCCTGCAGAGTTTGGCTCCAACCCTGATCTACAACACCTGATCCGGGTAATAATGGTCTTCAGTGGCATCTGGATATTAGAGATACAGGAGTGGATCTGGCCCCGCAATGGACTGGTGACCTGTCCAGGGTGTATCCTGCCTTCCACCCAATGACTGCTGGGATAGGCTCCACCTCCCCCTGCGACCCAGAAGGATAAGCGGCTTAGAAGATGTGTGTGTGTGTGTGTGTGTGTGTGAGTTGGATCTGAACTCTCCAAGGTGGTAGATCTCCAGGCCCAGGATTGAGAAACTCTTGTGCCACACTATAACAACAAGAGGTACATTTCAGCTTCAGATTCTTCAGCTTTCCAATGCCTCCCCAGGTACAGCATCCAATGGCAAAGTCAGCTCCGCAATGTCCCTTTTCTGGGAGGTGGACCAAAAGATCAGATCTGGCATGAGACTCAAAGAAAGGACGCTTTCTGATCCACTTCTGGTTCCAGTCCTGGGCTGCGTCCAGTGGGAGAAATGTTCATAACGATTTTTATAGGCCCATTCATCATGAAATGTCCCCACAATGTAGAGGGCAGCTAGCCTTTTCAAAGATTTATAAAAAGCAAAAAATTAAAAAGATTGTACTTCATAGGTTATTTATAACACAATATAGGAACAAGACAATCATTTCACTGTGTTATTTAGTCGATTAGGCCTCAATGCTGCAAAATCCTAATCTCAGCTTTGAAGGAATGTGCTTGTGACAGAAGCAGGGTGAATGTAGGTCACTGACTCATGTCATGTAAATATAGGAGGTGCGCATCCACACACGCAGCGCACGACCCTTCTCACCTTGGAGCACAGCCAACACTAACAGACAGTAGTGCAGGTGCTGCCAGCGAACGTGTGCTGGCTAGAGCCCATCCTGCAAAAAAGCAGCCAGTGGCCTTGCAAAATTGAACCTAACGACCCCAGGTTCTTTCACAGAGCCAGGTACAGTGACTGTTATGGAGGGCATGAAACTCAGCTTATGAAAGTAAGGTGAGAAAATGAATAGGACACAAGTGCTGTGTGACGTATGGCTCAATGCATGTACTGGCCACTTTATTAGAAACCCCTTATAGCTCCACCTTGTGTTTAGATATCCATGTATTTGAATAACCACGGCCATCCCAAATCCAGATTAGTCAGAACCTGACTAGAGGAAATGTATGTCATTTCGATGCTGTTGGCTCCTTAGTCAAGATACTGACCTGTGTGGCCCAGAGGAAGTCCAGGCGCAGTTTGAGCTCCAGCTGTCGGGAGTGCAATGCCAGAGCGCTGGAGAAGAGCAGCAGGGAGAGGATTGGCTCGTAGCCACGGACATTAAAGGTCCCCACACTTCCCCTGTGGACATCACAAGGCAGAGATTAATACAACACACATAATTGCACACATCCTGTCCAAACACACAATGTACATTTCACCTAATCAAAAATACTTCGATACGGCATTAAGCATCAGTCTGAAGATGATGATTCAACTGCATAAATATTGCAATATTAGAATTATAATATTTTATCAGTAAACAATTAAGCATATGCACTCTTTTTCTGGCTAAAATAATCCTTGGGCTACTTTCAAAAAATCTTGGTGTATTCCTTTATTATACTCTACATAATCATTAGGTTGAGTTGTTTCAGCCACACCCATTGCTAACAGGTGTATAAAATCATAGACAAACATTGTTAGATGATATTAAATAATACATAGCTTAGCTTATTTGCATTTATATATTTAGATCTAACAAATGCCAATTTTATTGCACAGCAAATTGTGGCACCTTTTGTGGTTTTGGTCTACAACAGAATTACCGTGGTGGAAAAATGTGTATACCATTTTTGAGCTGTGCAGCACTGCAGGGTTAACTGCTTTCCCTGCTCTCACCCACCTGATTCATTTCAACTCAAGGGCTTGGTAATTAGCCAATGAGTTGAATCAGGTGTGTAAAAAGAGGGAAAACACTCCATTACACCATTGTGCAGTGCTCTGGGTTGGGAACCACCACTTTGACACAGTTGTGTCAATAGTCCTAGATTGCTGTGGAAATGTAAGGTTCCCCTGTTTTAACACCTTGACTAAACTCATTAACTAATGATAAAGTATTTAGTAAACAGCCATGATGTGCACACATCTGCACTGCAGTCTGTGATGCATAAGAAAAGAACAGCTCAAATGATATAACTGAAAATAAATTGGAGGGAAAAAAGCTGTCAGTTTTTAGACATGAAAAGGATGCAGGAAAGCACCAGAGGGTTTGAAAACCATCTGGCCGACCCAAAAACAACCTTGCTGAATCGGGCACTTGCATCTCATTGACAGTTACTGATCATGTTGTAAAAGGTTAGATTTCCGGTAGAATTACTTTATACATGCAATTTCATAAGATCCTCTGTGGGGACTGTTTTGAGGTATTCTGGCTCCACTCCCTTGTCATCTTCATCACCCGTGTCCTATTTGTATCCTTGCCTTGTCTTCATTGCACACACACTCTTATTGGCTTAGTCTTTATGTAATTTTGCTTGGACGAACCTGCATTTTGTCTGCATTTACTCTATTGTTAACTATGGAAAGTGGTCCAAGTCTTTGTTTAAACGCATCAACGACACACTTATATCCATGCCTTTCTCAACGCTATGCAGAATCTACATTGGATGAAGTAGGTATGGATCTACTGCAGGAGCATGAGCACAAGTTTAACAAAGCCAGCATGAAATACAACAAATCCAAGCTGCAGGAGTTGTTGGCAATAACTTACTGCAACTTACCAGAGGCTTTTTTGAGCTCCCCAAGGCTGAGACCTCCAACAAGCTCCCAAAATCAGAGACCTCCAACAAGCTTCCCAAGCTAGAGACCTCAAACGATTCCACATTGGATGAGGTCTCTGTTTCTCACTGTAGACATGCTGCCAAAACCCCATGTATGATGAGTCTGTAGCCGTTTCAGTTTCTAAGCCAAAGACCACCAACAAATTTGCCAAGCCAGATGTCTCTGATGAAATCCCCAAGCCAGAGGCCTTCAACAAACTCCTCAAGCCAGAGACCACCAAAGAGTTCCCCAAGCCAAAGGCATTCAATGGGCTTCCCAAACTAGAGTCCTCTGATGAGCTCCTAAAGGCAGAGACTTCTGAAAAGTTCCTTAAGCCAGAGAACCCCAAAAGGCTACTCAAGTCAGAGACTCATAAGGTGGTCCCCATTCTAAAGACCACAGACAAGTTCCACAAGTCAGAGGCCTCTGACAAGCTAGTCAAGCCAGAGACATATGACAAACTCCACAAGCCAGAGGCCTCTGACAAGGTACTCAGGCCAGAGGCTCCTGATGAGCTGATGAGCTCCTCAAGCTGAAGGCCTACAAGGAGCATCCTAAGCCTTAGACCACCAAAAAGCTCCCAAGCCAGGGGCTTCTGATGACCTCCCCAACCCAGAGGCCTCCAACAAGCTCCCCAAGCCAGAGGTCTCAAACTAGCTTCCCAAGCCAGAGGCCTTCAACCAAGTCCTTAAGCCAGGGACCACCAACAAGGTCCTCAAGCCAAAGGCATCTGATGGGCCTCCCAAACTGGAGGCCTCCAATAAATTCTTCAAGCCACAGGCCTCCAACTAGCTTCCCAAGCTCCTGGTCCTAGCCTATCCCTGGCTCCTACACTGGACTCCTGAAGTCAGAGGTCCACTTCAGACAATGAAATACCTTTTATCTTGTTCAATGCCCCAGTCTCAGTACTTGTTCCAGAATTAGTCCAGTTCTTTGGCCCTAACCTGGGCTCTGTCCTTGCCTGTGACCTGGGCTTGAACAGAACCAGCTGTGGACACCATCATGAATTCAGTTCGGCTTCCCCAGGGGAGCCTGCAATGACTCATGAAAATTATACCAGTCTTTGTTTAAATAAACAATCTGCACACTTGTATCCAGCCTCCATGTCTCTGACATAACATGCAATTCAATCCATCTTATTCTGCCTAAGTGCTTCTATATATGTATATATAGATTTAGTATAATTATTATAAACTAAGTCGCACCTATATGTCTCACTTCTACCTATACTTACTGGCCATTTTATCAGGCACACTTGCCATATAAGCCAGGGGTTGGCAACCCAAATATTAAGAAGAGACAGCAAAAATCAAACCACCTTTTATGTCCACTTTACCATCTCGGCTGTAAATATGTCTCAGTATGTGCTAATGTGCTAGTTTAGGCTAAAGAATATAATATAAATGAAAAACGCAGACTCACTTTACTCTGCTTTAAGCTTTAGCACGGCTATAGTCCCTTTTCTCGCATCTCTGGCAGGAATCTTTTCCAAAAGTGGAATAATTTCTTGTAAAATGTTTCTCAACGTTCAATTTTTTAAGAGTCTTAAGTCTGCTTCTCATTTGCCAGCTTTTTGTTCAAATTTTCCCATGATTAAAGGTTGGTGAATTAGCTGTTATACATTAACTCCAATGTTTAAGACCATTTGTTGTTAAAACTGTGTTGAACGATCAGCAGAGCTTTATTTTGCTGCAAAGGTAGATCATTTTATTTTTCCCTACAAATCTATTTGTGCTGTGGAGCCACAACAGGGCAGTAAAAGAGCTGCATGGTATACAGTTATTGACTATAGCTCATCTGTTACTGTACTGTCCATCAGTGGAAAAGAGCCCAACAAGACCATCACTGACCACATGTTGATGGACCATTCTCAGCACAACACTGATACCAACATAGTAGTGGCATGTTAGTGTAATACCCTGTTATGAGGGTATTAGTAACAGTAGTACTGCTGGTTTTAAATAGTCGGTGAGTGCAAACACAAACATCTCCCTAATACACTGACAACTAAGTATATTCATGTATGTATCTGTCTATCAACCTATCCTCTCTCTCTCTCTCTACCGTATTTCCTCTTAAGAGACCCTTCACTGAGTGGGTGGGATGCTCGATGCCACTCACAGTTTTTGTGTTCTGATTGTATTCAAAGGTTCATGCTGGGCTAATGAGCCTCAGCTCATCTTCAAACACTTAGGAGAGGTCGAACAAAAAGGAGAGCGCTCACAAAGAGAGCACAGCTTCATTAAAAGAGATTTAAATACCTTTTAATTATCAAATATGGAAATCTTACTTAAATAGTCGGATGGCCTATTTCTTAAACAGCTAGAGGGGACTGGAAAGAGGTCTGAATCTGAGACTTTCAGTGGATGGGAACATTGTAACTTATATTTAGGATGAGCTGGGGGGAAAAAATCATAAGCCATGATGTCATTATTAAAAATAACTTGTTTTGAAAGAACATTGCTAGCTGCAGAAAATATCATGGTTAGGATCAAGATCTGTGGTGATGTTTACTGAGCTAGAATGTTCACATGAAATGCACAAATGTGTGTGGCAATTTGCTTTAGTGGTCAAAAAATGTGAATAAAAGCCTGCGAGGCACATTATTCATTGCTATCATAGCATCTTTAGCCAAACTATTATTTTAAAAAAAAAAATAATTAAGTCGGCTTGACAAAGGCGACTTACTGTTCTATGTTTGATTATTCTAGCTTGTCGACGACAAACTACAGGCTCTACAATCTGTTGAAACTAGGCAGATTGTAGAGCCTATACAAGAATACTGCAAGATTGGGACTAATTGCACGTACAGTTTTGTTCAAACACACAAATGATCTCACAAAGGAAATCTCTCATACTGCCCCTCATAGATGTTACATACTGACATACTAGCATGTTCACCAAATGGCCACTTCATTAAGCACATCTTGTATCTACAATCACTGTCCATTTGATCATGTTCACTGACCATATAGGTGCACCTTTTAGATCTATAATTACAGACTGTAGTCCATCAGCCTAGCAACGCCTTAGCAACCACCTAAGATAGGATAGCAATGGCTTATTAAGACCTTAGCAACCTCCTGGGATGCCATAGCAAAGGCCAAGCAACTCCTTAGCAACCACTTGGGACTTCATAGCAACGGCAAAGTGAAGCCTACTTAAATTTTCTTTTGAAACTTTCCCCTTCTAGTTCAAGATCAAAATCATTTCTGTAGAAAAATGTTTACTTAATTTATAAATCATTATTGTTTCTTTTTCATGCAAAAATAAATAAAATAGTTTAATTCAAAACAAAATTAAATGTAATTAAAATGTTTTATCAATTTCGAATGAATTAAAAATATTAAAATTGAAGGCTGAGGGACGTTCAAAACAGTCTGGAAGTTCATTTCTCTCTCTATCTCTCGACTGTTGTCCAATCTCTTACCCAGTTATGGCTCGGCGGTAGCCGCTCAGCTCCAGCACGGTGATGTAGCTGACCGCCACCATGACCAGCAGCAGCATCTTGGGCAGCCAGGACACTCTGAGGAAGAGGGCCATAGTCATGGTGCCCACGATGCAGGCCAGGAAGGCATACTGCGCCCCGTCGCAGGGCAACTCCGCCATGGTGCGGTTGGCACCCCCTGCTGCGTCAATGATCACGATGGAGCTGGTGGAGTTGGTGGACCACAGCCATGGCATGCATCCCACCTGCAGAACAGTGGGAGGAGTTAGAGAGTGACCTGGGAAAACGTATGCTGTGTCTAAATCTATGCCCCTGTTCATTATAGAGGGCGCAATATACTGCAGATCATATTTGTGCACAATCCCACAATGCACCACCATAGGTAGTATATTCATAGGTAGCGACACTAAAAAACACATATCTGTCATTTTTAGTTCATAGTTCATAGTCTTTTATCTAATAGTTCCCTACATGATTGTTGTATTTAAACTCTGTAAATACTGTTATATTTCATTTTGTTAAGTTTTGGAATAAAAGGGTTAAAATCTTCAAAAGGGCACTGCAAATTCTCTAATCAGCACTGGTTTCTCTATGGTATCTAGGTAGATACAACAAAGCGATTGCTCCCATTGGTTAGGTCAGGGTCAGCCTGGTAAGAAGAGTCATTTTGTCCTTTCAACAAATATCAAGCCACCTTGGGAGCCACAACATTTTACGTCGATTTCACCATCTTGGCTATATATATGTCTCAGTATGTGCAAATGTGCTAGTATAGGATAAAAGTGTAATATAAATGAAAATACATACTTACTTTGCTCTGCTTTAAGCTTTAGCTCAGCTATAGCTGCTTTTCTCACATCTCCAGCAGGAAACTTTTCCACAAAAGTAGAACAGTTTCTTGTAAAATGTCTTATAATGTTTAATGCTGAAGGCTGAAGTCGCTTCTCATTCGCCAGCTTCTTGTTCGAATTTCCATGTTCCACCTAAAATGGTCCAGCAGTTACATTCTGGCATCTCAGGCACCATTTAAGGAGGAACAGGAAAATTTGAACAAGAATGATTTCAGTTTTGTGACTTCTGAGTGTTTTAGATTCTTGTTGCAGATTAAACGTATCAGGGAACCAGCTGGAGTGATTATAAATATATTTGTATCCAAATTATTATTCATCTTAAATCTCTCTCTTTGCCTTTTCGTTAGCTACTACCTAGGCAAGATTGTTGTCTGTGTTGCTATGGTGACCAGCAGTCTGAACACCAACCTTCAGGATTAAAGGTTAGTGAATTAGCAGTTCTACATTAACTCCAATTTATTGTTAAAACTGTGTTGAACGATCAGCAGAGCTTTATTTTACTGCAAAGGAGGATTATTTTATTTTTACCTACAAATCTAATTCTGCTGTGGAGCCACAACTGCATGTGGCTCCAGACTCCTACCCTAGCAGCTACAATGTAAGTGCTAGACCATTTAAGGTGGAACGAGCTGGACTGAAGGCCTTTCCCTATAGATTAACTGATAGCATAATTAAAGTGACTGGAATCAACCAAACATGGTTTGATTTACAATGAGTGGGAACACTGTAGGCCTTTTGAAAGTTCTAGATACATCACTGATGGTGAATAAGAGTTCTAGCCTAGAGCAGCTCAATGGCAGGACTCTTTACTGACTTCAGCTCCTGAAGTCCTAACCAATGAAAAAGCTTGATTGGCTGTGTCTACCTACATACCTCAGAGAAAAGAATCCTGATTCAGCTATTTCCTGTTTTAAGATTTTAACCCTTTTATTTCCAACCAAATCTTAACAGTGAAATAAGAGTACAATACTTGTAGAGTTTAAACACAACAGTTTGATTATTTCAAATAACAATAATAAAAAAAATAAAGCTTTTTTAGTTCTCGAAAGATCATTAGACCTTCTCTACTGATCTACTCTAGAAGTCAGAGGGTTCCCTTCTGACTTTATGACATATGTCTTTATGACGGCTGCACAGACTCATGTTCTTTTAATTTCCTGCTTATTCGATGTACTATTAAGATAATGATGATGATGATGATGATGATGATGATGATGATGATGATTATGATGGAAATGAAGGCTCACCACACAAGCTTGGGCCACAGCGTAGATTAAGAGCACTATAAGCACACACAGGACCGTTCGGATCTGTATGGTGAGGCACCCAGGAAAACACTGGGGGAGAGAGAGAGAGAGAGAGAGAGAGAGAGGAAAAAGGGAGAGAGAGAGAGAGAGTGTCAGGGAGGCAGAAAGAGAGAAAAAGATGAAAAAGAGAAAGAGTAAGAGAAGGCGAGAGACAGCAGAAAGGGAGGGAACAAGAGAGGAATAGAGAGGAAGAAAGAAAGAAAAGAGAGAAAAAAATGAGAGAGAGGGGGACAGCGAGAGAGATGGAGAGGAAGAGGGAGGCAGAAAGAGATGAAAAAGAGAAAGAGAGAGGGAGAGCGGGGAGGAAGAGGGAGGAAGAGAAAAGAGAGAGGAAAGAAAACAAGAGAGAGAGAGAGAGGAAGAGCAGGGAGGCAGAGGAGAGAGAGAGAGTGGGGAAGAAGTAAGAAAGAGAGAGAGAAAGAGAGAGAGAAAAAGAGAAAGAGAGAAAGGTAGAGAGAGAGGAAGATGAGTGGGGAGGATCAGAGAAGCAGAAAAAAGACAGGAAAGAAAGATAGAGAGAGAGAAAGAGAGAAGAATAAGAGCGGGGAGGACGAGGGAGGCAGAGGAGAAAGAGAGAGTGGGGAAGAAGAAAGAGGGAGAGAGAGAGAGAGAGAATGAGAGAGAGAGAGAGGAAGGGAGAGAGAGAGAGAGACAGAGATAAAGAGAGTGGAGAGGAAGAGAGAGGGAGAGAGAGAGAGAGAGAAGATTAGCTGAGAGAATTCAAATTCGTAAATCCACTTAGGAGAGACGTCAAATGCCAAGCAGAGAACTTAACGATAAAGACTTTATCCTGAACAAAAGAGGAAATGGAACTAAATGGGCTTTGAATTTTTTGGGAGCAGCAGGAGAGACGAGGGATTTTAACGCTATTGTGAAACATGATTTGAACAAATTGACTTTGACGGTGTGTCAGTGTTTCTCTTTTCACAGGTTTACCTTCAGCTCTGTGATGGGCAACAATTGGCTCTTACACTGTATTTACATCATTCAGAGTGCAAGGCAATGATAACTGAAGTAGTTTACGTGAAAATTGTATCGAGGATAGGCGTGACCTTCACTGCACAAAATAAATTAGGAGAGGATATATGGTGCACTAAAATATATATATACTTGAAACTGAAACCATATTTTAGATATATATCGCTGCTGTTGGAACAAAACCTTGTATCTCCATTTTTGCTGTTTTTCAGTTTTTGACATAATTTGAAAATGTCAATTTCTTGATAAATGGACCAAAATAAACGGCACAAAATGACAAAAAAGTCTGGTTCCATTGACTTACATTAAAAGTAAAGTAGGTTTTTTCCTTCTCCTGTAAAGTTACAACAGCAGAGATACAACAGCAATGATTTATATATATATAATTTTTCAGCATAATTTAAAGGTTAAGATGTAAACAAAGTCATTCAGAGTGGTTTGGTGTGAAATACTAATTGTTCACAGTGGTGGTGATAGGAACCAGACGTCTAAAAGCTCCCGCACAGTTAAAATACAGATACACTACCTGATGTCTCAGACATTGTTTTATGATACAGGATATATGTTTTAAGATGAGGTTTTTCTTAAGACATGTTTAAAAAACATTATTCATGACATTCATTGCATTGGCCCAAAATATTTTTTTTGATTTATAGTTATAATTTTACTCATACAGAGGTGTAGATTCTAGATAAAGAGATACAGGGACTCTAGATTAGTTTCACCAGATGACCTCACAGCCAGTGTAAATACAGCACATCACTTGGATGTGACTTTGTGCTTTCCAAGCCACTCACGGTCAGTTCTCAGGGGGATAAAGTGATAATTACAATTACCGGGATTCCCCGTGTATTTTTAGCCCTCAGCTCTCTCTGTTTCATTACTGGGGACTGTAAGTAGCTCACATGGACGGCCACGTGACTAATAACCTCAATGATCCTTCCAAACACTTCAGATAAAAGCTTCTTCACCAAGACTCTACACTGCTACCTCTGAATATTTCATCCAGTTTTAAAAGAAAGCTCTACTCCTTGGTTGAGAATGGATCTCTGTAACACAAAACTGTATGGGGACATTTTGGAAGGAGGTGCATTTTATGAATTTATAACTTTATAATTTAAAAAATGCAATGAAAGGGTTTAGAGCTGCCACGATTACTCAACCACAATGGAATACTTGATTAAAAAGTGGAGATTAAAATGAACTTAGTTAAATGAACTTAGTTAGTGATAAGTTTGTGGTGTCAATGATAAACAGAGTATCCCGCAGGTCATCATAAGAGTGTTTATTAGGCTGAAGATTCTCCATAAGGCTGTCCTATTAGTGCTTAAAAAAATTTGCCATTCACTGAAAGAGAGGAAACCCACACCAGCAGGATATCGCAAAAATGTATGCCGCAAATTTCATGTATATGAATTAGAATTAAACGTCCACTGTTACAAATTGTGTGTACATGGAGTGAAAGTCTATATGAAGTAAAAAGCTATTGTTTAACTAGCTCTACCCATATGGAAAAAAATATATATGGACATGTATTTGTATATATTTGAAATACATTTTAAATACATTACAATTCATGCTAAAATACAGTCCAAACACTAAAATGTATTTCAGAATACACTGCCATATTAACCGAATATATTTTAAAATGCATTTATTTTAAAATGTATGGGTAAACATTATACACAGAAATGTACTATAGAACAAATAAATGTAGGTAAATGTGTTTATCAAATACATCTGCAAATACATGAAAACAGCCAAAATATTATCTAATGCACTTTACTGTTTGGATACCTTCAGAAATGAATTTGTATTCCAGTGTCTTAATTTTAAGTATTAGCAAATGAACCTTTGAGATGGCAAAGCAAGTGTTGTAGGTATTGATACAAAAATGCAGTTTGATGATTTGATATCTCGCTTATTTGAAATATATTTTGTGTGAGTGTGTCCTACTGCATATGGACAGCGTTAATGCAAAGAACCGTCAGAACCGTTCAATCTGTTCTTGTATATTAAATTAGACCTGTAGCCTTTGTTAAAATAATATACATGCAAAAAGTTATTTGATGAAACATTTGGAACATATTTCTTTCCATATGGGTAGGTTGAACAGCTCAGCAGACAGCTAACAGGCTAATGGGCTACTCCAAAAATATTCGGTCCCGACTTTATATTAAGTGTCTGTAATAACTGTTTAGTTACTTGTGAATAACATATGCGACAACATTGTAATTACTGATGATTTAGTCACTGTTATAGAGGGATTGCAGAACTACAGCCTATGTAATTACACGTGTATCAATTTCAGTTTTGCCTCATGTAATTACACAAGTGTATCTTAATAGTTGTAACAGCTTATTCTCTCTCTTGCAATTACACAAGGGTAATAACATAAATGTGATTAGATTTGTAATCATACGTTTAACATTAATTAAACATGGTACATTACCCTCAACGCAATGTCTATATTACAACTCCATTATTACACAGTACCTACATAACGACTACACAGTAACTGTCCACTTATTTTACAGTATAACTTTAACACTGCACTACAGGACAGATCCTGTGTAGAACATATACTTGTTTAATTACATGAGGCAAAATAAGTTGATACACATGTGTAATTGCATAGGCTGTAGTTCTGTAATCCATCTGTAACACTGACTAAATCATCAGTAGTTACATTGTTGTTGCCTATGTTATTCATGTGTAACTACTCAGTTATTAGAGACACTTAATACAAAGTGGGAGCAAATATTCTTTAATGAAAAACTTACTGTAAAATGGCAACATACAGAGCAAAGAATGTGCCATTTAAATCTTGTAACATGCATCAAAAGTCCATGCTTATGTAGAGCTGACCTAAGTAGTGTTGAAGCCCATGTGTACCAGCTTAGCAATAACATACCATTGAAATTTCCTGAAATGATAGCAGCTATAAGCGGTGTTTAGGGTTCTGATAAAGTAAAAGTGCAATAAACCCTGCTGTAAAATGATTTGCTCAGCTGTGGGAAGTTCACGAAAGATTAGCAGTATTAGATATGTGTCAAAAATGTATAAAATGGCCTAAAAGTGACTTAAAAAGTGTTATATTAAATTAGCTGAGACCCTCAGATACCTTGACAATACAGGTCTAAATTCTGAAAGGAACAGAGCCTGATGAATACACATTCTATGCATTTTTTTTCAGAAAAGTATCTTGTAATCTTTGAGCTGATTGTTAGTTTGCTGTTCAAAAAAAATTGACTCAAATAATTAGCAGATCACTCAATGACAGCTCTGAAGGTGTGTGATTTACCTGTACTCTAGTAACATGAAGATACATGATACATGCTACAAGGAAACAGATGCAGAAAACCAGCAGCACCAATACTACAGTCCCCCTGAGATAAAGAGAGGAAAGCAGAAGAGGGAGAAAGAAAAGGTAGGAAGAGATTAAAAAGGAGAATTCGATAGAAAGATTTAAAAATGGTCAATTAGCAAGGATAAAGCAAGAGTGTCTCATTATCAGAATGGGGAAAACACAGTGTAACACGATTTACAATGAACAAAATCTAGCCAGGCTGAGTTAGCATCAGGTATTTTTTGTCTCCCAACTGGCTTTCATTTAGTATTAGCATTGTTAAGAATGAAAAACATCACATCTAAAATCTGAGACTGAAGGTATTAGCACAAAGGCAGAAGTTAGAAAAGAGGAAAGAAGGAGGTGAAGGCCTCATATTTACTGTGGCATGATGAGAAGATAGACAAGGCCGAACAAGGCAGCTAGGATTAGAGAGAGCACCACCGCTCCAGTGAAGTATTCATCGTGTAGGTGATGATACTAAAAAGAGAGAACAAAGACATGCTTAACCAGCCAACTGCAGTCATATTCATACAGTAACACAATCAGAAGCCACTTTCCTTCTTATTGAGAACGTTTGGTCTGGTAGAGTCTCATTGTAGAACCGAGAAAAGAGGATCTAATTGATGGTTACTGATTTGTTTTTATCCTTTATCTGTGGTGGATCCAGAAAGTCTTGGCCAACAGGGAACAACAGGGTGAGTGGGCATTTAACCAAGTACTTGTCAAACTAATGAGGCGATGCCCCACCACTTTTTTAATGGGTTCAGGCTGCTTATTCAAAAAATCTGTGTCCCTAATGCACTGAAAAAACAGCAGTTTTCATATAATTGGTCTTCATATAGTTAAGATTTAGTTACTGATTTAAGGTCTTCAACATCACAGTAGACATGTCACCCACCACACGGGAAAGCAGAGGTTTTTTCCTTCAATATGAACACTGTTACATGACTCCTCACACAACACTCACCTACCATTTAAAATCTTAAGAGCATCTGTTAAAAAAACTAGTTGTAATCTTTATACATATGTAGTTTGGTTTAGTTAGAACGCAGTCCATCCCTGTGCTCTGGGTAATAAGCAAGGCCGTTTCCAGCACTTGAAAAAAAAATAAAAGGCCACAAGTTTCTCATAATTATGATATTGTATTTTATAATTATGACTTAGTATCTCATTTAGTTATGTTGAGTTTTATAATAATGAGAAAGTTTCTCATAATTATCACCTAAGAGCTCATAATAATGACTTACTATCTAATGATAATGAGAAAATGTTCTCATTAATCTGACTGATGATGTTCAAACTGTTGCATACAACTGTGCTCAAGTATATAAAAGTAAAATGTTTTAACAAACAAGAAAACGGTGTCCTTTTTGTGTGGTGTGGCATCTAATCAGCTGTACTGACCCTGTTAAAATAATATAGTTGTGGGCAGTTTCATTTTACTGTGATATGAATTTGGTTGGATGGTTTAATAAAAAAATTAAAAGAAAAAGTTTGAAGACTTTCCTGTTTGGCATTAGAAAAAGAGAGAGGTAAGTGAGTGAAAATAGAAGTATTCCATTCCAACAGCACTTGAGGAAAATACCAACTTTCCAAAAATAATACTCGAATATAACGACAAACTTCATTTATTTAAGTGCTTCTCACTCCTAACTTCCTGTTTGATTAGATTTGTTTATTTGTTATCATTCTTTGTTCATCATTTCTAATCACTGATGCAGCTTGGGATGAAGGCCACTTGGTTTATGATAGATATAAGCTGCGTCCCAATTCGGGGCTGCGTCCCTTCGGAGGCTGCATTTGAAGGCCAATTGCATCACAGCCGCGTGACTAGACTGTTACATTTCGGCTCAGCTTTTGCGGGTCTACACAGCCTTCGAAGGACACGCCTTCACAGACCTTCAAAGGATGCAGCCCCTGAATTGGGACAAAGCCATAGTTATGATAGATATAGTGTGAAGGGGGCTCACCCTCTTCTCGCGCTCTGAGCACTTGTACATGAGTGTGAGAAAGTGCAGGTCGGCTGTGTCCGACTCCGTCTGCCGAGCCTCTATCAGACGGCTGATGTAGCGGTTGACGCGCGTGCCCGGGCTGCTCTGGGTCACGTTGGCAGCCACAGAGGTCCGGTTCCGCAACTTCTCCGGAGCTGAGCGGAGCACCCTCCTCTGTGGAACAAACAGAGAGGGAACACAAAGATGCTTTTAGACTCATAAATATCGCAGAATGACAAGTATTTACAAGGTGCATCACTTCATTAAGCAGTGCTTCTCAACACTCTGAAGCTAACGCCTGTATATTTTGACATTTTCCCTGCCTCAAAACATCTGCTCCAGCTAATCAGCTAATTAGCAAGCTCTTCCTGAGTAGAAGTGAGCTGAGAGGAATGCTAGAGCAGAGACATGTGGAGGGTAGGAGGTACCCCAGGACCAGAGTTGGGAACCACGGTGCTAATCCTTAGTTGTCCAGGCCTGCATTCGGAAAGCCACTTCCAGACGTGCCCTTTGCACTTAGCCTTATTGAATCCCTGCCTTACTGAATCCCTATCGCTGTCTTAAAGGTTGAAAAGCAGGAGCATGTTAGAGGCTGCTAGTGCAGCAAAGGGGGAGCAGACTACCCTTATACCCTTAAATACAGAAGAAACATTGGATGTCATTGGATGTCCAAACAGACATATAGTGTATGCACGAGGCAGATACAAAGTCCAGAAGGGTTTAGAGGAAGTGCATAAGAAAAAGACATAGAAGTGAGACAGGAACTTCAGGTCAGCACTCTTTAGAAAGATCATAATATCACTCACTATCATTCACAATAGGCATGCAGTGGTGTGCTTACTGTGTAATAATCTGTGGGCAGTGGCATCACTAAATGTCCACTGGGGAATATTCTGGGCCTTTAGAAAATGCCAAATGCTTAATATGTCTGTAAGTATTAATTAATTTATATTTAATAGTATTAACATGCTTGTAATATTTAAACTCTACCGTTAAGTTTTATTTGGAAACGAAAAAGGTTAAAATCTCCAAGTTGAAAATGATCTAATCATTTTTTTCCCTGTGTAATCTATATACATACAGCCAAGCGAGCTCTCCCATTGGTTAGGACTTCAGGAGATGAACTGAAGGTCTTCTGGAAGGTTCAGATATGTCACCAACTGTGAACATGAGCCGGAGTCTAACCAGGTTTCAGTTAGTTGTTATGGAAAGGAAAACAGTACTAGCTCTATACTGAGTCACTGTAAAACTGCTACATACGAGGTAAAATGTATGCTAATGTCTGTTTACAAGCTTCAAATGTCCATGCTTAATCTAAAACGGCCAAAATATTTACATGTGCACCATCAAGAGCTTAGTGCTAATATACTGTTAGACACCCCCAGATATTAGCAGTATTATAAAGATGTCTTTTAATCATATTTTAATGAAGTTAGTGAAGACCTGAAGGCCTACTTTTAACAATCACAGTTTGCAGCTAACAGTATCAAGAGCATTTGGTGAACACCATCCACCAGGACCGCAGAGCAGATGCTTGTACATGGCCAACTTGCACAAATCTTGACACCTCAGGCTTAAAAACATCAGTACAATTGCAATCCACAGAGACATTCTGAGTGAGAGTGACCCTGCACTGGCCAGCTGTCCACTGTGTGGTTGTCCTAAACTGGGCAGCAGACGACAGCTGTGTACTACATATGCATGAACACCCCCGTCCTCCCACCTCTGCTACTCAACATGAAGCAAGTCAGAGCGAGGCGGCTCAGGCGTCAGCTCCAGGCCTCGACTTTTCAGATGCAATCCTATCACAGAGTGTTTTTGTGTCTATACTGGATTGAAGTCTGGTCGCTTTGGTTAAGACCAGCAACTAAAATGTGTTTTACTAACATAAAGCTGATGAAAATGAGCGCAATGGGAATTATAATCAAGTAGAGAAGTAGTATGATATGTAAATTATCTAATGTTACTGATTAATTATATTCAATATAGTTTACACTCATTTTTGGCCAATATAAAAATTAGTGTGGAGGAAATACGTGTGGAGGTCAACTGACAACATGAGCAAGACAAGCTTTCTTTGGATTGATGGAAAATGTGCATGAATCTGCTATAGGCGGTTCTATATAGAACCTTTCTGAAAAGGGTTCTATATTGCACCCACAAGCTTGACTCCATAACAATAGAAGAATCTTTTTGGGTGCTATTTAGAGCCATTTTCAAAAAGATTCTATATAGAACCATCTACAGCACATTCTCCATCAGTCTTGAAGAACCCTTTCATGAAGCGAAGAATCCTTTAATCATGCAAAAAGTTCTTTTGAGTGTTTATGGTTCGATTTAGAACCATTTTCTTTACTAAAGAACCCTTGAAGCACCATCTTTTCTAAGAGTGTAGGGTTAGCCATGCAAACTAATGATAAGGACAGACGTGTTGTCTGTTGGACAGTATTGACGAGCACACTAGCGCCCCCTACGTTGAGTTCTGCCTTCACAAACTGCTGAATTGGATCCCCTGTCTTAATTTTGATATTTGAGGAAACAGATTTTGGCCAAAACTTGTTTTATTATTCAAAAATGGCCAAGTTACATTGGTAGGTTTTGTGTCGAATGAGTAACAGAAGCTGCCCCTTCAGATGAGCTAATAGCCAACACTAACTGGTACAACACTGGCTGCTGGACCCGTCATCTTCTATGTGAGGTGACCCTCCCCTAATGAACCTATACTCCTAGGCACATTTAGCCCAAAATTTCTTATGGTCATCCCCACACTCTCAGAAAAAAAGTATGAAACAGTCACTGGGGCAGTACCCCGGTTGTCACTGGGGTGGGACACTCAAGGGTACATCTCAGAACCTTTAGTCAGGGAACATAACTGTACCATAATCCACTGAAATTTTATTTACTCCACACACCCCGTCTCATCTCCAGGCTTTTTATTTTATTGTTCTGTCTTAAATCATTTGGTTATGAAAAGGTACAAATACGAACTTTTTACCTGGAAAAACTTGTTTAAGGTTCACAACTGGACCTTAAAACCACTGCTGTACCTTTAAGGCAACATTTATATAGTTTGTACCTTGATGAACGAAGAATGTACCTGCACAGTACCTTTATTTCTATAAGTGTAGAGGTGCATTCTTTTGCTAGATCACGCCTGGCCTCGCCGATTCTCTGCAGATTTCACGAAACACGTAGTTGAAATTTTGGAGGTGTGCACGTTGTGGCCTCTGGGAGCTATGCTTACTCGTGAACCCCTTCGCTGTGTCTCGACGCAGAGAAAACCAGCCTTTACGGTGGTAGAGATAGAGGCACGGTTGTGAAATCTTAGCTGATCAGAGAACACCAACGCTAACGGAAGCGTTTCCTTCGAAAGAGCAGACGGATCTAAATATATCAGCTTAAAGACAGAGCGTCTAAAAATAAAGGAGAACCCTACTTCCTCCACATCAGGAAGCCTCCGCAATCAATACGGAGAAAAAACATCAGAGCTTGTCTCTGAATCAGTCAGAGAGAAAAAACAATACATGCTGAAAAGGTCATCCACAGCAGCGGGAGAGAGAGAGAGAGAGAGAGAGAGAAGAGAGAGATAGAGAGAGAGAGAGAGAGAGAGAGAGAGAGAGACAGACAGGGAGAGAGGCCGGATGTGCCCTGCTGAGAGACATCGCACTGGGGAGGCAGGAGTCAGAGAAAACAGTGGATGAAGTGGAACGGTGCGAATGGAAACACATTTCTGTGATCGTGTGTGTGTGAGTGCTCATGCAGCAGACACACACACCTCACAGCAGAGCTGCCAGCTCTGAGCTCGTGGGGACTATCTAGGCCACATTACAATTTTCACACTCTTTAAACTGTAGCTTTTCTTTCATTGACCCACTGATTTATTTACTGTTGTATATCGTTAGATTACGTTGTATGTAACTGAAGTTTGGGGGGTGGAACATGCCTGAAACTCCTCCTCCTTCCAAACTAACGCCCTATAAATTCAAATCCTCACCTTCCGGTCCTGTGATGAAGTGTTCGCAATCCCCACCACCACCACATCTCTTCCCTGTTTCTCAGTCCTGCATCAGTCCTACCACAGCTCTGAGGGGGTCTGGCCTTCTGGCTACAGGCAGAAGCTGCCCAGAACTCCAGCCCAATTCTCAGAGCTTTCCCGCCTCCCTCACTCAATCTTCCCTCATACTACCACCACCATGTTGAAGGTATGATCTGAACTCACAAAATTTGAGTTAACAGGTCTTCTACAGAGAACACACTTAAATATACCTAAATATTTTTTCTGCAAATTTCAGTGCATAATTTCATTTTTAACATATTGTAAAAAAAAATGCTATAATTTTTGCACAAGCATATTTTACTTTTTACAATATGTTAAATTCGTCAAATAAACGGTAAGTGTGCATTAAACCGTGCAGAAGTGTTCTCTGGAGAGGAAGTGTTAACTTATTTTTATTTACAAAATCAACAAAACATACCATTTGACCAGGAGCACCTAAACATTTGCATGCAACTGTATATCTGTATGGTACTTTATACTCAATAGTTCCACAACTATCTCAAAAATGGGAAATGTTAGATATATTGACTAGATTTAAGATCATTTTACCTGACAAGATGTTATTTTTGCAGTGCAAGAACCACAGAATTTGGCTAGTTGTCAATACTTAGTAGCTCAGAACTGATGACAAAAACCAGCTCAACCTCAAATAAACAAACATTACTCAGTCCCAGAAGTCAGTTGCATTTTCTCCTTTTCACAAACCAAGTAATCCCAAGCACATTCAGTGATGCTGAGGTCTGGACTCTGGGGTGGTCAGTCCATTGTTTGATGTGTCCGTCTCCTTTTCTCAGTGAGGGTCTTCTTGACAGCTACACATCCTTTCAGACCCATAGCGCTGAGTCGTCTTCTCACAGTGGAAGGATGGACAGAAACACCTGTGGATGTTTTCAGATCTGAAGCAGCTTGATTTTCTCCTCTCTCTCAAAGAGGAAAGCTTTAAGTGCTGTTTATCTGATGGGGGGCAGTTTTGGTGGCCCGATAGGTCTTACATGGTTGTTAAGAGTATCATTTTCTCTGTGTTTCTCTGTATGGACTTATTTTTCTTTGACATTCCTCTTTTCTTATGCAAGTGGATTATTTTGCATCTAATCTCCTCACAAACATCTCCTGAAGTATAGATGTATTTTACTCGTATTCAATGCTTGTTTTGACTGGACGTTACATAAATGAACAATGTTCTCTGACTTTTGCACAATACTGTATGCACACATACACAGCGCTGAGGTACCTTGTCCCCATCTTCACAGTTCATGACGTTGGAGAAGGGGATCTCGGCCTTGAACATCTTGCGGCAGTGCATGAGCTGCACCAGCAGGTAGACACACGGTTTTAAACTTCATCTTTTTGGCTGGCTTTGATGTCCGAAAGGATCAGCCCAGGGAAGATCTGAGGACAGAAGAAGACATGAGCTTAAAATATTGAATCAGAATGTTTCAGTGGCGCATGGTTCTCCCTCAAAGGGGAACTTCAGCTAAACATGTTAAAAGATCTAATAATGATGAAAAACTCACAGCCAGGGCAGTTAACTAGTTTTCCAAGCTTGATTTTTCTTCCTTGTTAGCAACAGTTTGTTTTTAAAGGAATACTTTGCCTCAAAATGAGTCTTTTTCTCACAATTAATGAACTCTGGAAGACATTTTTCCAAAAAAATGGGCCCGATTTGCTTTCATTTACTGTTGCCATGCAAGCATCTTGAAATATTTCTTTTAAAAAGATGCTAATAAGACTTCAGAGAGCAAGCCCAGGGCAGTGCTTAAACTCCACCGCTTACTGACAAGGTTTCTGCCTCTCAGGTTTGTCTTTCGCTGCTGCTTTTCATACAGTAGAATTCACGCTAAGAGGATTAGCTTGGTCAGCCATCCATGAACGAGCTGGTCGATAAGAAAGGCTCTCTCCGCTTAGTACAGACAGGTTCTATCACACAATGTATGAGCTCTTAAGTTGAGTTAATGCAAAACTCTTAGAAGAGTTGGAGATGAGAGGCTTATGAGGGTTTCTTCTAGAAGCCTCTTCAAGTAAATGGACTGAGAGCTCAATGACAAGTTACGTAAAATGTAAGTGTGTCTCAAACTGAGTAGCTTACTAGTCACTTTTAGTGCAAGTAGTGGGTTCACACTGGGAAATAAGATGGATTGAAGTGGACTTTTAATGTCCCAATGATGTATTAGAGCAGGAGTTCTCAACCTCTCGAGATCCACCAATTTATACCTAGAAAGCATGAAGGCCTACAGGAAAAAAATAAGCGGAAAAAAATTGGGGAAATTTTCAACACAGCAATTTTTGGATGCCACAACATACCATGTGTATCACTAAACATTAAATATCAAAAGATTAGGCTTGTTTTATACCTGAAATCAGGCATAACGTTAGCAAATTAAGCTACATTTTTCACTCCCGAGTGGACGATTGGCACTTTGGGTCAGTGTTTTATGTTTCTAGAGACAAGGGGCAAAAACAGATGAAGCTGCTTGGTGCATCACTGTTGCATGACTTGAATTAATATCATTTACTGTTTGAGAACATTTTATATTTCTTTCTTATTACTAAGTCCATGTTTTTCACTGATTTTTATGACTAAGTACCATCACTGGCCCACTATGGACCACTTGCTCCTCCTCAGTATTGGCCCAAGGACCACCAGAGGGTGCTTTGTGGCCCACTTGTGATCCGCAGCCCAGTGGCTGAGAAACCCTGTACTAGAGCCATTAAAAATGAAGCATGGACCATTTACTGTTTTCATGCACATCAATGACTCAACATTAGTCTGACTAGAGGCGTTTTTCCACTGAACACTGGTTGAGTCCATTTCCCAGTGATGCTAACTGATCTGCAAGCATTATGTTTTATGACGCTGCACAATCTTTACCCCATGTGCCTAATTAATATTAGCATATCATGAACATGCACCAGCCACACACATCACTATAAATCAGAATAAAAGGCAGAAACCATTAAATAAGTAGTTCTGTTCTCTTTCCTAGTTTAATAATACTTAGTTTTAAGCTTTTTTTACCTTTCTGTGGGTGAAATCATTCAGAGCACTGGGAGACAAGAGGGATATAGATAAAAACTTGCTTTTAGTGTGATTTTGGTTTATCATGAGATAGCATGATGTATTTGGAGACTCAAATGGCTTCTTAATCCCCATTTAGTGCGCTGCATAGGTCATGAAACTATGGCTTCCACAAGTGATGGGCAATACCACTGATTTTCCTTTTTTGAACCGATACCAAGTAACACCAAGACGAATATCCCTACTGCCGTAAATGCCACAGGACCACTAGTCTAACTAAGATATGATCATGTAAACAGGACAGTTTAACTGTCATGGTCTAATTAAGGCTGTAGTCAAGCTAAGTTCAACCTGATTAAAACATTAGGTCCAGGCCAACACTGGTGCCCACACACACATATGCACATGCACACACGCCTACACACCTTCCTCCGGTGGGATGGCACTATAAAGAAAGTTTCGATGTTGTGTTTCTGCAGGAAGGCATTTCTCTCCTGGCCATTCCCTGGCTCCACCTCATAGTCCCCGTTCAGGCACTCCAGCGTCGACCGTGTGATGTGTACTTTCCTATAGGCCAAAAGGAATAAGCAACACCTTAAACCAAAGTCTGCAACTAATCAGAGGTGAGAATCACAGGCATTTCTGAGAACTCACAAGAGTGCATTGTGACAAGTTCCAGATATGCTGGAAGGCTGGAAGCAGCCTTAAAGAGTCCTTATTCTAATCTGAACTGTATTTTATATTTCATATATATGAATACCACATTTATTAGAAAAAATAAAAATGTGCTTTTTAAAATTATTTTCAAACCTTTTCTTGTTAGAAGGATATACAACATTTTGGAATTAAAACAAAAATGAAAACATGAAAAAAAATCAATGAATAAAATATGGAACAAGCTGTTCAGACTGTACAGCTAGGATAGGTGCCAGCTCCCCCCATGACCCAGAAGGATAAGCGGTTTAGATGTGTGTGTGTGTGTGCATGTTCAGACTGTTCAGAGTGAAGTCCTTAGGGACGCTGAATAAAACGATATGTGGATCAATTAGAGGGCTACAATGATCCATATGCTTCCTGACAGCCATGAACAGTACGACATTTAATCGTTATGGAAAATTTTGATTTTCCATTATATGAGCATGCATAAAACGGAAAATACGCTCGAGTTAAGAACACAGACTCTCACCCAGGAAGCCCTCCGGCCTCCATGACGTTGGCCAGGGTCACATCGTTGGACCAGACATCATACTGCCACTTCCTGAGCCCCAGAACACCGCAGAGCACACGGCCCGTGTGTAAACCCACACGCATGTTCAGGTCAACCTCAGTGGCCTCTGCAACTGACCTGTAAGAGAGGAAGAGGAGAGGAATTAGAAAAGTAGCGCATGGGACAGGGGCGGGTGGGGTCCAGCCTATTAATTTAGTTGGACTGAAAAAGCTGTTCATCTGTTCTTTGGTCTTATTATAATTTTAAAAAATGTAACATTTCTCTACCAACACCTTTCGTAGTAGAACAAATAGTGTGTTTATGCTTTTTTAATCGAGTGGACGTGTGTTTTTTGTACAGGGTTTTTTTCTTCCCCATAGGAAATTCATAATCAGAAAATTCAACACTAACTGCCACAAATAATGCCATAATGGTCATCTCTCACACTGACCCTCATAGACATTACATACAAATTCACATAGCAGCACACATAAGTATACACACATAGTAGCAACCACTCGGAACACCACAGCAATGGCCTAGCAACACCTTAGCAACCACCTGGGATAACATAGCCATGGCCTAGCAACATCTTAGCAACCACATGGGATCACACAGCATCAGCCTAGCAACACCTTAGCAACCTCCTGAGATAGCATAGCCATGGCCTAGCAACACCATAGCAACCACTTGGGATAATACAGCAACGGCCTAACCAGACTGCAAGCATATATCAGCATGCTGGCTTCATAGTTCCGCACTCCGCTGACGGTTTGCCACTGCTGATCCACCCTCAAAACAGATTTTAAATACATAAAGCCTTTTATTCTTAAAATAAACTTAGACAAGTATTACAAACAACTGAGGAGGAAAAAATATTGACCAGGTCTAATGTAAAATAATTTTATAGAAAATGTTGTTATTGACTCTGTGCTAGATTAAAATTATTTACTAAACTAATTTACAAAGTATAACTAAAGAAAGAAAGTAAGGAAGGAAGGAAAAATAAGTAGGAAAAAATGAGCTATGGTAAGTACAATTTTGTCTATTACTCTGCTTAACCACTGGTGGACTGTCCAGAAAATGCTTAGCAAAACACCAGTGGACCACAAGCTTTGCCATCAGTGGGCCGTCAGTGGTCCATTATCCTCTTGCTATCAGGGTAGCCTTAGCAACCACCTGGGATAACATAGCCATGGCCTAGCAACCAGCTGGGATAACAGCAACAGCCTAGCCTTAGGAACCACCTGGGATAACATAGCAACAGCTTAGCAACACATTAGCAATCACCTGAGATAACATAGCTATGGCATAGCAACCACCTGGGATAACACGGCAACCGCCTGGGCAGGCCAAAGAACTTTCTGTAGCTCTTCTTTTTGGAACGTTCCTTTCACTGTATACAATCCATCCTTCCACACTTACATTCTCAGTACAAACTTATTATCCTACTTAACCTTACAGTCCTACTGGCTCTACTGCAATAAAAGTCAACTTTATCTCACCTCTCCTTCTTTATGATTGATTGGTTTCATTCTGTGCAAATTTGAATTGAATTTCAAGGCTGGGATTCTTCTCAGCCTCAGATGCTCCACGTACAAATAAACTGTATCTATAGGTTTTGTCAGGTTTTGTCAGTTTTATTCTATCAGTTCACATTTTTAAATTCATGCAAGAGTTTTTATGTGCTTTAGTAAGATATGCTTGTCTGTGTACATACCACTTTGTTTCCTGTGGGTCTGTTTTTGATGAAGATCTACTTTGGCTGCTCCTACACTTTACACATAAACAAGGTCTGCGGTTGGTTGTTTTGCATGTCAGTTAAAATAGGCAGCTCTTGACCATGCTAAGCTATGAAATGCACCACACTCTCTGAGTCATGCGAGACCAGTGGTAGTGCTAATGCTAATGCTAACCTATCAAAAATACGTTCTTCTGTTCGTAGACTGGCATGTGTGCTGTCAGTGTGTGTATGAGAGAGAAATCCTTTTTAGCTGCCCCAAATTCTAAAAGTATACATTTCAAAAAAATATTTTGGAGTGAAACAGGGCATTTTTCTTGATAGGTGGGGGTGGGAGAGGGAGGTGAAATATTATTGGTTAGTAATATTTTTCTCCTTTTGTTGGTGCACGATGACATAATCAACAATAAGAAAACATTTTAGAGGTGGGCAAAAGGCAGTTTGATGAAAGATTACAGAACAGAAGAAAACAAGAATTTAATCTTGTTTTTATTTAATTGAATTTATGTGATTTGAGGAATTCTGTTTAACATAAACAGAGACATGAACAGAGCAAAACAAGATCTATGAACAAGTTAAAAAAAAGATCCCTTAAGTTGTACTTAGACCTTAACAAGTACTTAGACCTTATATTTACAATGATCATGTTATGATCTGTTTAAACTCAATGCATTATAGTAATAAACTACACACAGACACACACACACACACACACACACACACACACACACGTACACAAACTCTATTTTTTCTGTTGGGAGGTCACAAACCCTAACCCTCTCATTTCAATGTACAAATAATGTAATGAATAACATAAAAATAATTATATACTATTTTTTTCATTTTTTCTAAAAGATACTTTGATTTATTTTGAAGTGAAGCTCACAGATTTGGATTTTTCATGTGTTCAATTAAAAAAAAACAAAACAAAAAAAAACACAATTTAAAACTTGAGGTCCCAAAGAGTTTTACTCAATAGGCAGAGTCTTATTTTAGCCACACCCCTGCATTTTAGAGCAGGAAGTGAGGCTGCATCCCTGTCCCTCATGGCCACATGGTGAGCACTTAGATCCCATCGTTTTGAAGGATGTGTGTCCCTAAGTCAGAAAATCACCATGTAACATTAAGAACTGTCACTACCAAAACACAAATTTTCTGCAATTAAGTAAACTTTTTTGTGTTTTGATATGATTTTGTGTGTACAACTGTCAAAAGCTGTGTTTGCTAGTTACCAAAACAGTCACTATTGAAATATTTACACACAGTAAAGTTTCATGTCTTGTTTTTTTTTTTACATTTTTATTTAAATATCCCATCTTATTTTACATTGTACTAAAACTTGATGACAGATAAAGCAATAGAAATGCTCCAAAATTACTTGGAAAAATCTCATGAACTTCCACTCAATACAACTCTCTCTCTCTCTCTCTCTCTCTCTCTTTCTCTCTCTCTCTCTCTCTCTCTCCCCCCTCTCTCCATATGACCACTAGTTGTTGCTGTAACAGTGACGGCCTCTTCTCCTGTGGAGGGAGAGTCAGTGTTTGTGTGTATGGTAAAGAGAGATAAGCCACAGGATGCTCTAGCGCTTCTCCTCTACACTGATCCTGACTCTGCCAACAGGAAAAACAACAGTAAACTCTATGAAAAGAAGGATTTTGTCCTTTCATATTTCACATCTCTCTCTCTTCTCTCTCTCTCATCTCTCTCTCTCTCTCTCTCTCTCTCTCTGGGCTTTAACTAGGACAAATAGAAGGAAGTATCTGAGCATGTGCAGAACTTCTTTGTGAAATTTGCTTATACAAAAAGGACATAATACAAAAAGATATGTAATATTGGATCATTTTCCTCAGATCAAGGTAAATATTTTTGTCTCATTTTGTTCTTTTTATTTACTATTCAGACTTGTGTGAAAATCTGAAGTTTTTGGTCAAATTTATTCAGAAATATAGAAAATTCTAAGGGTTCACAAACTTTCAAGCACCACTGTACTTAAGATGAAGACGGATATTTGGTTGATTAATTATTAATGATTAGAAACATCTACTTTGTACTTCCATATAGGTGCACTTTGTAGCATACAGGCACAGACTGTTGCATAGCCTAATAAGCTAAATGTATACAAAATCATAATTTATAGCGCATTTTCTATTGGGAGGTGTCTGTCACAAACCCTAACCCCTTTATTTCCAAATTATTTTTTTTTTAATTTTAAATTATTTTTTCCTTTGGTTTCTCTTAAACTGAAGCTAAAAGATCTAGATTTATTCTGTGTTTAATTTTCAAATAAAACACAATTTCAAAACTTGTCACACGTTTTCATGTCATTACCAAAACAAAGAGTTTTAGTGTGTAGGCAGAGCCTTATTTTAGCCACACCCCTGCATTTTAGAGCAGGAAGTGAGGCTGCATCCCTGTCCCACATGGCCACATGGTGAGCGGTTAGATCCCATCGTTTTGAAGGATATGTGTCCCTAAGTCTGGAAATCAGCATGTAACATTAAGAATCGTCACCACCGAAACACATATTGTCTGCAACAAAGTAAACTTTTTTATGTTTTGATATGTTAATATTATGTGTGTACAGCTGTTTAAATGTACTGGCTAGTGTTTTTGAGTTCTGCCCAAAATTAGCTAAAATTGTCACTACCGAAACAGCCACCACTGAAACATTTGGTAAAGTTTTAGTAGTGTTATGATTGTTTCAGTAGTGACAAAATGGAACATTCAGTCATTTGTTTTAATACAATTTTTATAATTAAAGGGTCACTCAAAGCAAAAGGACTTTAGTCTAAAGTCCAAGTCTTTTATTTTCATTTTTGTCTTTTCTATTTTATTTATTTTATTTTATTGATTTTGTTTTTTTCAAAATTTGAATAGGCCACCTCATTTTACGTTGTACTAAAACTTCATGACAAATAAAGCAAAAGAAATGTTGAAATTACATAGGAAAGTAAATACTTAATAAAGTTTTTAACAGTTTTTTTTTTTAATTCTTTACAACACAAATACAAATCTAAAATATAATTAGGTATAAAATACTGTTCTGGGAGGAAATGATAATTTCCTGAATGCTCAGGTTTGAAAAAAATCATTCTGCAGACCCTTTTAGTGTTTGAGTGCACCCAGTGAAATCACTGCCACTTCACTGTTCCACAACCACAGAGCTGTTCATTCACACACAATCTCAGGGAACGGAAATGACCAGAGCGGAGTGGGCAGGCAGTATTACAATTCTCTGGAGCAAACGAAGACATGCTGCACTAGGCTCTACACATCCTGTCACTGCGAGACAGATAAGTACCCAATCAATAACACACCTGTGGCCACCTCAGGTGCTTGGACCCCTAGACATTACACTGCTCTCTGAAATCCCAACAGCAGAAAATCACTTGTTCAC